CAAGCTGAAGCCTATGCTAATTTCTCGCAATGCCAACCCACGGGCCCTGAAAGATTACTCTAAGGATCACCTTCCTGTGAACTACAAGGCTAATAAGAAGGCATGGATAACCAGCGCCATATTTAGCCAGTGGTTGAACGTGTACGCCATCCCTGCAATGAAGGAATACTGTGTCAAGGAGAACCTTGACTTCAAAATTCTTCTGATCATTGACAATGCTCCCAATCTCGACGACTTTCATGACAGTGTAAAAGTTGTATTCCTGCCTCCCAACATAACAGCACTGATGCAGCCTATGGACCAAGGCGTCATCGCCGCATTCAAGGCGTATTATTTATGCCGTACCATGGCCCAGCTGCAGAAGGCTACAGACGAAGAAAATAAACAAACAATCTTTGAATATTGGCGCAGCTTCAACATTCTTCATGCAATCGACAACATTGGCAAGGCATGGGAAGAGGTTTCAGAAAGTTGCCTGAATGGTGTGCGGCGTAAACTGTGGCCCGAGTGCGTCAACAGTTTTACGGGATTCACTGACTTTGTTCCAGCAGTGAATAGGGATATCCTCAGCTTGGCTAGACAGGCAGGCTTTCATGAGCCGGAATCAGAGGATATTGAGCAAGTCCTGGCATCCCACACAGAAGAGCTCACCAATGAAGATTTGCAACAACTAACAGAATATAGTCCTGGTGAAGATGACGAAGACGAAGAAATAATACAACTAACGCTAACTATCAAAAGGATGGCAGTTGAGTTCACCATGATCCAGCAAGGAATGCAAATCTTCATTGATGACGACACAAACAGAGAACGTAGCTCAAAGATTCAACGCAATATTGATGACAGTCTTGCTTGTTACAATGAGATCTACAAGGACAAGAAGAAGAGGAGCACTAAGCAGTCAACGCTGGATTCTCTTTTTTCTTTGCCGGAAGGCAGCAGCAGCATCTACATATATATACACAGTGGTCCCTCGGTTAACGAACTCAATTCATTCCAGAGGGTCGTTCGTTAACCGAAAATTTCATAAACCGAAACCATTGTTTCAATGGGATATTGGGTAATTGGTTCCAGCTCATAGAAAAGTATATACAAAGTAAAGCCAAAAACGCATAAAGTCAGAAACACTCCTAAAATTCCCCTAAATCGCCCTTAAATCTAATCAATATATATATATATATATATATATATATATATATATATATATATATATATATATATATATATATATATATATGCCACAAGGAAAGAAGAAACACGAAGTTCCCAAGCGCTGTAATACATCTTCAGGGGTGAGTACACACACATATATATATATATATATATATATATATATATATATATATATATATATATATATATATATATATATATATATATATATATATATATATATATATATATATATATATATATATATATATATATATATATATATATATATATATATATATATATATATATATGCACACACACACACCCCGTATACTATTTTCGATAAAAATGCCATTGAACTTCTGTATATGTAATGTGTTTCGTGGGGCAAAAGGAGGCTGGGGAACGTAGCTCCCGTATTTTATCTATTTCTCACGGGGAAAAATTGATTATGTTAAAGTCGCGGTTTTCAGGAACGGAACCACGGCGTTACGCGAGGATTTACTGAATCATGTGTCTGAGGTGCCTCCATAGGTGTGAGCATATTTACGGAATTAATCTTAATTTAGCGAGCTAGTTCAATAAATCGAGCGAAAATTAATGAAAAAATCCCTTTCTCTAAATCGAGAGTTTGTTATATCAGATTCTGCTAAATCGAGAGTATACTGTATACATACTGTTCAATCTCCTGAATGTATAATACGTATGTGTCCTCACATTTTACGTCTTTTAACAATTGTGATGGAGGTATGGTAGAGGATTAGTGGGTCTCATGTTAACTAGCCTGACCTGATACAATGCCAGGTCCATCCTATTCTATATAAACTCTTGTCTCATTTGCAGTGGAGGTGATGTGGGGTGGGTGAGTAGTGGTCTCGTATTACTGACCTTCTGATGCAATGTCAGGTCACCCATTGTCAGGGTAGGGGATTAGAGCGAAAGCACTTCATTGTCTGAGTTAAAGCACGTCACAGTCACTAAAACAGGTACAGCACTTCACAGTCAGAGCAAAACCACTTCACATTCACTAAAACAGAGTACAATGTGAACATTAGTGATGACCTCTCACTGTAAGGGAAAAAACAACACCGATGATGACTGATAAAGAGTGAGCTCCATTTCTTATACACATGTAAACAATAAGAAACAATGCCTGGACTGTAGTTCACCAGATGGCCACGAGGCAGCGTTCAGGTATAAGATGCCTCAGCTGACAAATGAAGTTAGTGATGCGTTCCATATGCCGACTTTTTTTTTTTTTTTTAAGGGAATTAGCCCACCCGGGCACAGGTCAAACGACCCACAACGGAGCCTGGGGGGCGAAAAAAAAAGAATGGAAAGAAATTGTAAATATAGAAAAAAAAAGGTTATACTGTATTGATCTACACCAAGAAGATGCCGGAAAACCAGCTTTTTAAAGTGAGACAGATTGTAAGAGCATGGAAACACAGAAGAAGGCAGAGCATTCCACAGTTTGGCTGTGTGAGGAAAGAAGGAGGTACTAAAACGGGTTATTCTCGTGTGACCGACATCCACAGAAAAACGGTGGGCACCGCGAACAAGACGTGTGTTGCGAACCCACGGCCTTGCCGGCGGTACACAGGATGCCAAGTCCACCGAACATTGCCCGTTAAAGCACCTGTAAAAGAGAGAGAGTGAAGCAACATTGCGGCGAAGAGAAAGGGAAGAGAGATTGTCGACTAAAGGAGGAGAGTTAATAAGACGAAATGCCTTAGATTCCACCCTATCTAATAGTTAGACAGAAGAAGAGCCACCCCAGATATGAGAGCAGTACTCCAAGTTAGGACGAATGAATCCCTTATATACTTGGAGCAACTGCTCAGGAGTGAAGTAGCTGCGGCATCTGTACAGCATTCCCAACTTTCGGGAGGCAGCTTTAGTTATACTAAGGATGTGTGATTTCCAGGACGTATTGGAGGAAATGGTGAGGCCCAACATATTTATTTCAGAATTTGGGAGGATGATAGCTTCCTGAAATGTAATTGGTGGGAGGTCGTCTAATTTACAAAGTGTAATTGGTAAATATTGAGTTTTATTACTATTGAACTTAACCAAGTTTGTACCTCCCCATTCAGAGATGCTGCACAGATCCACGTTGATAGAAGTAATGATATCAGTTCTAGAAACGGATCTAGTTTGAGAGTTAGGAGGAAGGGGAAAATGTGAGGAAGAGTGAAGAGTAGAATCATCAGCGTAAGAATGGATAGAATTAGTTGTAGTGTGAAGTAAATCATTGATAAAAAGAAGGAAGAGAGTTGGTGAAAGAACAGAACCCTGTGGGACGCCACTACTGGTAGAGAAAGAGCGAGAAATCGATCCCTCGACAACAACTGCCATGGATCAGTTCTCAAGAAAGCTAGAGATGAGAAAACAAAGTGGGGGAGAAAAACCAAAAGAGGGAAGTTTAGATAGCAAAGACTTGTGCCATACACTGTCAAATGCTTTGGAAATGTCGAGAGCCACGACAAAAGTTTCCCCATAATCCCTAAGAGAGGATGACCAAAGATGGGTGCAATAGGAAAGCAGATTACCAGTAGATCTCGCCTGGCGAAAGCCATACTGGTGATCCGACAAAAGAGAAAGGCGTTCAAGGTGGCGGAGAAAATGGGAGTTCAAGATAGTTTCGAAAATCTTAGAGAGGGATGAAGTTAGGGCAATGGGGCGATAGTTAGAGGGATTAGAATGGTCACCCTTCTTCGGGATGGGCTGAACCAACGAATGCCTCCAAGAAGAAGGAAAAGTTTGGGTTTTGAGGCAAAGGCGAAAGAGGTGAGCAAGCACAGGGGCCAGGGCTTCAGCACACTCCCTCAGAACACGGGGAGGTATTCCGTCCGGTCCATGCGCCTTAGTCACATCCAACCTGGATAACACACCGGCAAACCCTGCGAGTGGAGATTATAGGAAAGTGCATAGGTTCAGTAGGAGGTGCAGGGGTAGGAGGGATAGAGTGGGAATCGTCTAAGGTGGAATTAGAGGAGAATAAGGTACCAAAGAGGTTGGCTTTGTCAGGGGGAGAGTTGGCTATAGAGTTATTGGGACGGAAGAGGGTAGGAAAAGAAGGCGTGCAGAAGTTATTACAGATGTTTTTAGTTAAGGACCAGAAGGATTTACTAGAGGAAGAATTAGTCAGGACAGCGGTCTTTCTTTTAATATAATTCCGCTTGGCCCTATGAAGAATAGCCTTACAACGATTCCTAGAAGTAATGAAAGAGGTGTGGGTAATAGGAGAAGGAGATAGTTTCATAGCTCGATATGCCCTATCTCTCACCCTGCAAGCAAGAGAGCAGGAGCGATCAAACCATGATTGTAATGTGAAAGTTTTGGAAGAAGATGGGATAAAGGCACTCATAACCCCCTGTATAACCCCAGCAATGCTGTCAACACATACCGAGGCATCCCGAGTGGAAAAGCAACATTCACCCCAAGGAAAGTCGGTGAAGAATTCTTGCAAGGATTGCCAGCTTGCCCTCCGATAGCGCCATAGTTGACGTTTAGAGGGAGGTGGGGGACTTGGCGGGATGACTAATAATATTAATATGAGTTTGTTTACATCACAAACAAGGACGCAGTCTTAATACATCAGCATCATTAATGTGAATTATCGTAGATTGGGATATCATAAATAGAGGTTTACCCGTACATTATTGCAATTACAAAATCACATACATGTTTGTTGATGAAGATAATTCATATTTTTGTGTATCTCACAATAAGTCAACTATGCAATACTGATTTTAATGAAAATCTTTTTATTCTAAATGAATTCAGTCCAAAGCCACTTCATAAAAACAGGAATATACTGTCCAACAGTATATCATACGTACATTGTCATGAGTATAACAAATATCCATGCATGGAATGCCAAGGTTGTGTTGGAATCCCTTATAGTCACTGCCAGACCCAATGAACTGCATTTGAGGTTTATCAGACTGATGGCGATCTGGCCTGCGAGCTTTCCAAGTATCATACACAGTTTTTCTACCAGCTGCCAATTCCACTGGATCTGGATTAGGAATCTGGAAAAAGAGAAAAAATGTTTTAATTTGCTTGTGACTTATAAATCTGATATTAAAATCAGGGGTGGATACAAAAGGGAGCCCTGGGCACCCCCAAAAAATTGGGAAGTGATTCTGAAATCCCCATATCTAGCCAAGTACAGTACAGATCAGGCAACTTCCATTGCAGTTCAAGGTCCATCGGATATGATTACCCAAGATCTGAACCCCAGACATGTGTAACTGGTGCAACACAGAACTGTCTATTGAGCTAACTATTCTGTAACTTAGTTAATCATTTCCTACTACAACCTTAAAGCCCATAAAGGCAAAAGCTGAAAGCATCATAGTACCTAAAAGATGCTGAGCCTTTTATGAGTAGGGCTAATATCTAATTTGGTGAAGGCTCAACAAGGGGGTTTTTGGAGATCACAGAATAATTTTTCTTTTCTCTTTTAGCCCAGGTGATATGTGCAAAAATATCATTGAATTATGTATTGTCTTAAAAGCATATACTGTACATGTACTGTAATTTGGTGCACATATGGATTATGTTCTTTTGATGATTTTGGGATGTGGGGGCACTTTGAAAACATCCCCTGTCAATGGTTGGCGGCCATTTTGTTGCCGCCGTTTTAGAAAAACTTAATTTCTACCCAAACTCTACTACTATACATGATGGCATGGCAATAATGATCTGTGTACCCCTATTTTGGTGGCCAATGTTTACTGTAGTGTCATGTAGAACAACTTACAATATACTTATATCCTCCAGTGCGGAAAATGAGATGGCCAATATTGAAACGTATTTTAATCCACATCTCTGTAGCCACCATCAAATATGATAACAATATAGTACAGTACTATCTCCGTTAGCCAGAATCCCTCAAACCCGGAACTCTCCATTAGCCTAAATTAAAATTTGCTCAGAAAATTCCCAAAGCCATAATTTTTCAAAAAATTTCGGCTTTGGGAACAAATTTTACGAGGTTCAACATCGAGAGAATTTTCTGAAAATGTCTTGAATAAAGATGAAAGTTAGTTTGTTTTTGTTTTTTTGCGGGGGGGGGGGGACCTGACCTGACCTGACTCAATGTCAGGTGGAGGTTGGGTGGGGGATTAGTGGTCTCATATTACTGACCCTCTGATGGAATGTCAAGTCACTCTTTCTTGGGTGGATGATTAGTGGGTCTCATGACCTGAAGATGTTTTGAATAAACACGAAAGCTAAAGTATTTTTAGGGAGATTGTGATAAGTATAAGTATAAATGAGCAAAGTTGTACCCCTTCAACATTACATTACATAACATTTTAAAATATGAAGTGAGAAAGCAGAAAGGTGAGGGTAATTAGAGAGATGGAGTAGAACGGAGTGGTAACATGCATCAGTGTTGCCAATGGATAAGCTCCTCAACAGCTGATCTTTTAATTCACCTCCATGCAGTCACACAAGACCCTCACTGGATGCTTGTTGTCTTAATTCCCATGTGTGTGTGTGTGTGTGTGTGTGTGTGTGTTTTGAACTTGTCAAGCACATTTTAGGATTTGAAGAAGTTGATAAAGTTTGTTCAGGAGTCAGGTGGTGAGGTGACATGCCAAGACACTCACACAGTACACACATTAACAGCACTACTAAACCATTGTCTTATAGCATTTTACATAATAATTTCTATTTTAAAATTAATTGATACATGATACCTAGACAGGACTACTTTTGCACTTTGACAACTAATCAACGAATAAACCGGGGCATGTGGAGACTTATTATACATTAGTGATGTAACAAAGCTTTGAAACTGCAACCACATACTTTTATCCTCTTCGCCACTGATCGGCTTGTTAGCCGCTTGGGCGATCGGTCACGTCTCTGATTACTTTTCCTTTTCATTTATCTTCTTCACCAAAAGATCGGCTCGCTAGCTGCCCGGGAGATCGGTCACGTCTCTGTCACGCACTGTTGGCAAATACTGGGCATGCACCGGCTCCTGAATGTACCTGAACCCACTCCAGTGTTGGTCAAGTCTTGTCTTGAAAGAGCTCACACTCGGTGCCATCACAACACTCTCTGGTAGATTGTTCCAAGAGTTTACAACCCTCACTCCGAAAAAGTTTGCCCTCACGGTTTTCTGGACTTGCAGCTTCTTCAATCTTGAGCTGTGACCCCTTGTGGGGAGAGTGTCCGCCAGCTCCAAGTATGGACACTCAACTGAGTAGTGCCCCTTGAGATGCTTATACACCTCAACTAGGTCCCCCCTTGCCTGTCTGTAGTATAAGCTAGGCAAGTGCAGGCGCTCCAATCTCTCAGGGTAGCTGAGGTGCTGAAGTGCAGGCACCAGTCTGGTGGCCCTCCTTTGAACATTTTAACCAACTGACAGACCCTAGCATATCTCAGGGACCAGATGGAGAAGCACTTCACTTCTAAAGATCGTTACGGGGGACGGACCGTCTAGATATCTGAACGAGTCTTTAGTATGGCGAGATTAGAATACGAGGACGGGACTACCCAGGGAATGCCGTGCGGGGACACTGCACCGAATCTACCCCCGGACACTCCTTGCGAGCGAGCTTCGAACTGTCTGTGTCGTAAACAACCAGTGGACTCAGTCTTGTCCGGTCTATTGATCTTAGTTATATGTATTGAGCAGGATTGGTATCTATGATTGGGGATAATTAGCAGAAATATAGTTATTCCAATATGAGTATTGAACCCATGAATGTTGGTGTTACCTATGGTAACGTTGGTATAGGGGTTGAGTCTACCAACCAGGTGTACTACCACTGAGTCTAGTTAAAGTGCCATGTTGTTCATTCCGAACTAACATGATGTGTTTAATAATATATTAATTTTGGATCTTTTCGAGTGTGTTATATAATCATATGTATTGACAATGAAGTAGTATAATGAGTGTGTAATGTTGTAATCAAGAAATGAAGATCTATTTTGCTATGTGTAAAGTAAGACCTAAGTGGTCCAGTCTTGTCTGAGTGTAATTAATTAACATCTTGTTCACTCCTTATGTTAATAAATATTGGATAAGTAATGTTCAAGTATCACCGCTCTATTCCTTCTACACATTAGTTCTCAGAAAATAACTATTATAACTCACGTGCCTGGAAGCTCACTAGCACGCTACCTAACAGTTCAATGAAATATGTTACATTCTAATAAAAGTCTGGGTAGTGGCAGGCTACCGTTGCAAGTATAATAAGTGTTATAATAAGAATGACATGGTTCCCAGACTAATCCATGGTTTAGAATATAACTAAAACAGGATATAATTGAGAGAAAGTAAGGACATAGAATTTAGAAAATATAATGATATACAGGTAGTCCCTGACTTACGACTCACTCAACTTACGTCTATCCGCACTTACAACCTGCTCTGACCTTACGACCGTCGGGACATACAACGGCCGCAGTAGTGATCAATTTTTTTTTTCAAATGACGAGCGCAGTTTTAGAGGATTTAATGAAAATGAAGTTATTTCGGATATTAGTCACAAGATAGTGGAGTTAGGTAAACAGCTTCAGTTAGAAATTGATAATGAAGATGATGAACAGTTGGTTGAAAGTGTAGCAGAAGAGCTCAGTAACGATGATCTCATCGAACCAGAAGCACACAAAGATGCAGAGGAAGAAGAGAGTCTAAATGTAGAAGAAGGACCTGCACCCCCCAAAAAGTTTTCAGTGAAGCAAATGGCAGAGGCATTTGCTACAATTAATAAAGGGATGCAAATGTTAGATGGCATGGATCAAAATTATGAGCGTTATGCCAAACTTGACAGAATGATCCAAGATGCACTTGCTTGCTACAGAGAAATTTATAATGAAAAGAAAAAGCAAACTGTGCAGTCTAAATTGGACATCTATTTCAAGTAAGTCCCCCAGTGCTGTCTCCTCACGCCCCACCAGTGCTGCCTCTTCACTCCCTCAAGATGATCCAATACCTTCAACCAGCAAATTTCCACCGTACATAAATCTGTCTGAAGAAAGCGACATTGATGACCCACCCAGCCCTGTCTCCTCCTCTGCTTCTTCCAGTTAATGTAGTCTCCATGTATAATTAGAAAATTATGGGGGCCCCGTGTGCATTCAGCTGACTAAAGGTAAGTGCTCAGTCACACTGTATCCATTCCTCATTATTTATTACTTTTACTGTACTGTATCCATTCCTCATTATTTATTACTTTTACTGTACTGTATCCATTCCTCATTATTTATTACTTTTACTGTACTGTATTTCATTGTATATATATATATTTTTTTTTTATCTATGTCGGACTTACTACCATTCCGACTTACGACTGGATTTGGGTCCCTAACCCCATCGTAAGTCGGGGACTACCTGTATATGAAACAAGAAATGAAGTAAAGAAAAGAATATTGGCTTCGAAAATATAAGCAAAGAAATATAAGATAAATACTTATAGAGAGAGAGAGAGACTCAGAGTAGAAGAATATAAGTATATAAGTATAGAAAAGAAGAATAAATAGAATAAATCTGAAGTAAGGAAAACGGACCCTTACATTATGAGATCACTAATACCCCACCCTACAACCACCTGACATTGTGTCAGGTCAGGTTAGCTCTAAGGGAGTGGAAAATATCGGTCTTTACTGTAACACACAGCTTCAATCACGATCATATCTTATAGATTTTTAGCTTAGACTCTTGGAAAACTCACCAGCACACAGAAACATTCTGAGGATGTGGGCTAGTGTTTGTCTGTGCAATATGTATAGTTTAGACACTCGGAAAGTTTTTTCCAGTAACCGAAAATATTTCCGGGGATGGGGGACGACCGCCACAGTGCCAGTCGCGACCATGACAAGAGGATCCAAACCTCAGAAGGCCATGCGACCCGAGCTAATTGCTGGCCTGACTGAGGAGGACTGGGTCTATTTCGTGGACTGATGGGCTGCCTACAAGACTGCCACTGACCTGACTGGGGACATGGTTGCAGTGCAACTCCTGGAGTGCTATGATGAAGCTCTTCGCAGAGACCTCCATAGAAACCTG